CTCACTGATAGAGAAAGAAATTATAAATGGTGGGGTGGTGGCTAGAATGAACCCTGTGATTTGGAATTGGAGTTAGCGGTATGAACTAAGGGTTTTTAATATATGCAGATACAGAAATCAGTATGTGTGTGGGTGTATGAGGTATGACGCCTCACACACTGTGAAGCAGTGACACCTCATAGCAGTGAGCACCCCTGGCATCCAGGTCTTGATTTCTAAAGAACATCTTCAATCAAAGGAACCGAGACTCTTTGGCGAAATGCTGTTCCGGGGCCGGCACAGGGAGAAATACAAAATAAACCTGGAACAATTTGTGGTGAATGGTCAGAAAATTATGGGGACATATCAAAAGAATGTAGGATCCAATTTAAAGGGACTCCCAGTGGTCAAGACTGGGATGATTCGAGCTCAAATAGATAATAGTTAATTATACATAAAGTAAAACCAATATGAGCCCATGCTGATATAAAAAACTTGAATAAATAACTTGAAAAAAAGAAAGCTCTTAAACAATTTCAATTAATAAATATAGAAGGAATGAGGGAAATAAAAAATCATCATTTGGCAACTATCACAGCAATAATCCACCTCCAGCAAGAATCATCAACAGATGTTAAAACTAGTGGCTACAAGTTTGAATGACAAACAAATATTTACATAGTCTCAAAGTATCTCCTCAGAAGATACCCTGGGGTGCCAAAAAAATGTATACAAGTGGACACTTTGATCAACATTGCTCAAGCAATAGTTCGCCATAATCAGAAGTTTCTGGACGCTGATGGTAAGCACATCTTGTAATTGCAGAAGTCAAACGTGACATATTCATCCTTTGTTATTAGTAGACATTGAGTATTACAATTTTAATAGTTGGAATTTCCCTTTCTTAAAATGTATATACATTTTTTTGGCACCCTCTGTATTTGATAATTACAAAGGTTTCACAGTAGAGAAACCTGGCAGACCCCACCTGAAGCAGGAAATGAAAGCTCACCTCCCCAGGAGTGAGGCACCCCAGGGCCATGTGCCTCTTGAGAGGATGCACTGAGAATCAGGATCATTTCTGTGGGATTCCTGCCCCCAAATGCATAACCAGAATCTAAAGCATGAGGAAATATATCAGACAAAGCCAAATCGAGGGATTTGCCTTTCCAAAAGTGTCAAAGTAATGAAAGATAAAATACCTAAGAAACTCTCAGTTTGAAGGAGACTAAGGAGACATGATGACTAAATGCATTGTGGGAGCCTGGATTGCATCCTGGTCCTGAAAAGGGACATTATGGAGTCATTAACAAGATTTGAATAAGATTTATAGATTAGTTAGTAATATATTAGTAGTAATTTATTGCTATTAGTAATCGTGGTGTGGTTAAGTAAGATTAATATTAGGGAAAGCTGGATAAAGACTACAGGAAAACTTTTTAAGATTTTTTTTTAATTGGGGGATGGGAACAGCGCTGGGGAATTGGGGGAAGGGGAACAGGCAAGTTGCTGTCGTTTTGTTCTTCAGTCTAGTTGTGGAGGACATTGCTTCGCTGGCCCAAGTTGGCACCATCATTGCTCTCTTCCTGGGTGAGGCAGATCAGTCGCCAGCTTCTGGACGGCCGCTCACGCTGGCTGCTGGCTAC